AATAAAAGAAATAAAGTACTATCTTTTGGAGGATAGGAGGATAGATTGGATAAAATAGGTAAATTTAATAGAGATAATCTAACAATGAACATCCGTAAAGTGTGTGTCTCCGATTTCGACGAAATTTGGCATATTTATAGAATAGCCAAAAATAAAATATCCGTTTTTTTATCGGCAATGGGGCAGGTTTAAGAATGGAAACTACCCCTCAAAGTTTCATCCCCTTCATGCTACTTTGATAAATATTGTAAATAAAAAAACTGTTTTAAACAAAAATTGTACAGTTTTTATAAAAAATAAAGTAGGCTTAGTTAAAATAAAAAAAATACTTTTAATAATTAACAAAATAATTATATCAGGCTTAATTAATTAACTTATCAAATTCATTATATAGGAGAAAAGTTAGCATTTTCTATTCTGAATCCATCCCTATATCATGTTTTATATTTAAATTATACGGACTGCAATTTTATAAGTGCAGGTGATACCATAAACAAGGTGCTTGGTAACGTGCGTGAGCGCTTAATCGCTACTTTGCTACGCAAATGACGAATATTTATTTATATCTTTTGAACGCATTTTGATTAATACAGCAATATAAAATAATTCGGAAACTATTAAGACATAAACGTGGAACGCCGAATATTTTTTCTCTGTTACATATATTTCACATTACATTTTTTAAAAATGTGTTTAATATAACAGACGAGAAAGGTATGCATGTGAATTTATATTAACATATTATATATATATATAGTCTGTAAAGTAAGAGCGTGCACAGGTTAATATGTAGAAAAATTTATTTTTAATGATTTTTAAGTACATGGATTTGTTGTACTCCATGAGAAGAAAAACGCTATACCATTAATAATGAGTCCAGTCACCACCAGCATTGATAATTGTCTGGCATCTCCGAGGCATACTTTCCACTAAGTTGACTGCGTATTCGTTCGGTAAAGATCTCCAAATGAGACGAATTTGTCGTGTCAGCTGCTTCAAAGTGCACACTCTTTTTCCTCGAAGCTTGTGCTTGAGATATGCCCACACATTTTCAATGGGATTTGCATCTGGCGACTGCGATGGCCAATCAAGTGTGACGATGCTAGACTGCTCTTTCCACTCGGTGCAAAGCTTGCTCCGGTGTTTTGGGTCGTTGTCTTCCTGTAAGATCTAATCCTCGTTTTTTTTATGAAGCATCGTTCAGCAGTCGGCAACAAACACTTCTCATAAATTTTAAGCATTAAGGTCGGGTTCCGCTTAAACAAATTCACAATTTTTTTTCCATATTCGGCGTCACTTTGCCTATCGAGCCACGTTCTGGCAAGTCATCGACATTTTTTATCTTCTTATATTGCTGAACCCACTTAGCGACGAACGATTTTGACTTTCCCATGTATTTAGAAGCCACTGCATATGACATTTTTGGTCCTTTGGGATGAGAACAAAAGAACACAGCCTCGCAGCGCGATGCGTATGCGGCACTCATGGCGGTTAACATGTTTTTCAGGTTAGAGTTCGACGCCAACTGAATCTTTTGTGACAAATCATTCACGACAAAGATTTCATCTATCGGCTCACAAAAAAACTAGGACGATATTTGAAGCCAACTGCCATTTATGCCATGCACGCTCTTACTTTACAGACTATATATATATATATATATAGAGACATTATAATTTTAAATATTTATCAGTACCCAGGTATGTCTCTTGCTCTGCAATAAATACGATGTCTTCCACATAATGCACTGTATAATATTCAATGAATTATCTTTTAATTCTTCTACATAAATTGCGACCGCTCCTAGCGCTTAGGAAGCGGGCAAAAATTCACGACTACCTGTCAGTCGCCCTCCGTCGCTTCACACAAAATTTCACCAATCCAAGGTTGGGCGCCAGGCACGGTTCGCGTACCCATCAATACGAACGATAAGCGACGGCGAGGCGACTCGATCGCCTACGAACGCGACAGCCCCGGTAAATTTTGAGTCGGAGTAAGGAGTGGATCCTGGCGTTGCTGGGATCCCGGGAAAGTGGAAGGCCCGTACGAAAGAAGCGAACTCGTTATTCCTTGATATTCACTCGGTATATTTGATACGATATAATTTACAATCAGATCTACCTAATGGCCTTCCGTCGGTACGCGAAAAAGATCACCCCTGAGGATATTTCACCAGCCGGTACAAAGTTTAATCCGCCGCCAACCCGATAGCACTCGAGAGAGATAGAGGCTGGTTTCCCCGAATACCGTTGGTAAGTCGCAAGAAGGGCACTCTTACAGTTTCGCTCGCCGGGTGGGGGCCTCCTTCCGGGACGTCGCGCTCCTCCGGTCGTTCGCTCCCGTCGCTCCCAGTCGGCGCCTTTCTGGTCCGCGCTCTCTGGCCGCTTCCCGTCTGCCCGCTCTCTCTCTCTCTCTCTCTCTCTCTCTCTCTCTCTCTCTCTCTCTCTCTCTCTCTCTCTCTCTTCCCCCCCCCCTCGCAAGGCGGCGCACTGGCCCGATGCTGCACCCGGTATTCGAAGCTCGTTCGATCCCCGATAGCTCGATACACTCACGAATTTTCGGTAACCGGATCGATCCGCAACAGGCTACAGAATCAGTCGCACGCTTTCGATAACTCCGCTAACTCGATTTTTTCGAGAATATCCTCCGACGCCAGACCAATGGCGATATATCCTCCTCCCTTTCTTTGTCCGTCCCTCCTGATTTTTCGTCTTTCCTGATCACGCGGTGTCTCGATGTCAGGGCCTGTAGTCTTTTCCTCCTCAGGAAAAGCCTGCCGTCTGCGTGATCGGGCTCATTGTTGTGACGAAAAGCGAGCCGCTGTTTTTATTTTCCGCTACCGACAACAACAAACGAATTGATATCGGCGTGACAACGAGCGGTAACGTTCTAACAGACTAATAGAGAATGATAGCGTAAAGACATCACCTAAGGGCCGTTCGCCGGCTGCTTCTCCGTTCCTCCACCCAGGCCTCCTCGTGCCGATCTTCTTCCTCCGCTTCTCCTGCTGGTCAGAATCCACCCGCGGCGGGAGAAGCACACAAACTATCGGAACGCGGGAGTACCCAAGAAGAGAAAAAAAACTCGCACGCTTACGCCCGCGGTGTCTCGCAAAAGAGAACGTCCGCCGCTAAATTGTATCTCGAACGCGCAACTCGCCTCGCGGTCGCGGGCGAGCGCGGCGTCCCCCTGACTCTCTCGGAGGTCTTTTGCCTCTTGTGACGGGCAACTTAAGTCGTCACAAAATATTCACCGGAATCTCTTGCCGTGAAATATTAATGTTTAACAAAAAGTATTTCATTTCAGTGTTTTTATACCGTTACGTATGTACAGTATTATCGCATAGATGTTTCAAAACAAGTCTTAATAAGAAAATAATATTATTTAATTAAACTAGAAAGTAAAAAATATTAAACATCACTATCATGATAAAGTTGTTTTGCACAATAACTGACGTCGCTCGTATCATAATCGCAATCAATAAATACGTAATAAGTCATAGCCTAAATCAATAAGCCGAAGTCGATTAAATTGTATTTACAGAGATGTTTTTTCATGACACTATCATATCTTCTTTCACTTCTATCATCCTTTTAGATTATAATATAAACTTACATACCAGAGATAACATATTAAAATTGCAGTTACTTATATACAATCAGTTTTCTTCTCCAAGGTTTTAAATATTCGTGATATCGGAGCGGATACATTGAAAATAGGCTAAATACATTTGAAAATCCGATAGAATATTATTATTCGGTTGAGAATGAGCTAAAATATAGAGTTTGCGGTGATATTGCAATAATTAAATGTGCTTACAAGTAACACTACCCAACTATCACTCACCGATTCCAATGAAATTTCGCATGCACGTATGTTTGCGATTCGTCGTCTCATCATAGCTCTTTGTTTCGACGGCATCGCGGATTCTTGACATTACGAGATATCCTGCGTGACTAGCGCGTGATCACACCGTGCTTGTTCGGCGATGGGACATACCGTTGTTATTGTCACTGTCAGCATATGACCGCCAATAACCTGGCAAAGTTTTAAAGCGGTAACGGGTAACGTCCCATCTCCGAGCAAAGAAAAAAGAAATAAATGTAAGACCGAAGTTACTAACCGCTCTCGGTTCCTGACTCGGATCAGATCTAAAATTCGCACGAGACCGACTGCAAGTGTCAATTTCGCTTCGTTCCGCACCGTTTTTCTCTAATCAGCTGCTCGACCGCTCTGGTCGAACCTTCGCGTCCGGAGACTCGGTTGCGGCCTCAACTGGCTGATACTTCGACTGGACGTGCCACGTACAAACTTAATTTCGTTCAAATTGTCAGCGTTTCAATTTTCAAAATTCAATTTGTATTTTTTGGTAACAAAATTGGGATCGCAGGTTTGGGAGGTGCTCGCGCTCCGACCAGCGAATATCGTTCTTCCAGAATCTCCACGACCATCGCCCAAGAGAAGAAAATAAAAGGGAACGATCCCGCGAAACTCAAAAGGGCTGTGTCTTCCTTCTTGTGGAACCCCGCGCTCATTGCTGAGCGATCCCGGCCTCTTGTTGACTTAGCCAAAAGGCGAACAACGTAGAACGTTGAAAAATATTCAACACGTGTTTTTTTATATTAGTTGACAACGCATTTTAAGGGTGGAAATCATCCCTTGATCCCTGAACATGAAAGCACTAAAGGAAGAGGTCTAAATGTGGGCTACCACTTTTAACTTTTTTATATCGTAAATTATTTAAACTTATTGCAAACGAGGATATGTGTAATGAAGTTAGTGGAGTGTCTATTTCAATACTTGTAAAAAGGATATTCCTACATTAATTAGATTTTGAGGTATTAAAAGTTTTCTGAAAAGAAAGGAAATCGCTCTTTTTGAAAAGATGGTCCAAAAATGGGCTGCTTTCATAATATGTCAGAATAACAGAATTTAATGTAGAGATATATTTGTAAAGGGTAAAGAACATATTAAAACGTTGACAAATACATGTTAGTATATTTTTTTCATTACATTCATCGACAATAATCGCATATATAATAATCTTTCTCAGCTCCTGCACAATCAACGTGTGCCCACAAGGAGCACATTAAACATTGCACCCGTAATTTTCCTTTCCTATCATCTGAGAACTTTCGATCACAAAATATACAAGTTGTATCATCATCGCTTTCAGGTCGTTTTTTTCCGATGGGCAAGTCGACGTCACTATCATAATCATTTTGTGCAAGATTCTCATTTTCAATTTCCTCAGAATCACGTTTCCGTTGTTTTTTGATCATAGTTCTTTTTTGGAGTTTTCCTTTCTTCTTCGGTAGACAATCAACAGCATTTTTTTCTTTTTTTATCTTTAGATATTTCCAAAGACTAGGATATTTAGAGAGACTTTTTTTATATGGAGATCCTGTGACAACACAAGCACCGGATCTGCGACCCCGATTGCTAGATTTTTTTCTTATGCTTGACACAGGTAAAATCTGAAAAGGACTCACTGTACTAGAAGTTCCCGGTAATTCATTTGCAGGTTGTTCATTTGCAGATAACTCATATGAAATATCCATAACGATTCCTTCAGTTGGAAAAGACGACTATTGACGTTCGTAAATAGATTCCTCAGTGCTCTGAGTATATTAGTATAATAGTGCATGAATATGGCCTTGTGACATTAATATCCTCTTAAATGGTTTCTTCTTAGTGGGACTCAGTTTCAGCCGCAATGAAGTCCTCATCACAAAATATATTTTTATTTAAAGGAAATATTCCGGTAACTTTAAAGCCATTCATTGCAATTTCTGCTCTCTGGACTTTCAAGTAGGCTTTCCCAAATTGTTCCATTATGTCGTATGATATAAGAGCTTTCTTAAAGTGAAATAAAGTATTTCTTATTTCATTGCTGTAATGAGTTTTCAAGGCGCCCATAAAGGTTTTGTCTAATGGCTGCAGCTTGTGAGTACAATGTGGAGGTGACGCAATAATCTTCACATAATTATTTCGGGCCATTTCGATCACATCTATATTTTTAACATGGCTGTAATGACCATCTAGAATTAACAAAACTGGTAAAAATTCAGTTGGATGGACATTTTCAATAAAGTGACTAAACCATTTCGTAAACAGATTAGCTTGTACTCACCCGGGTGGGTGAGCAACGCCAATGGACTGGTGGACTCCCTTTCGTAAGCTGATTTGACATGTTCGTCCTCGGGAAAATAAACATTGGTGGAATAAAACTTCCATTTGCATTCATGTAAGCTATCATAGTCAACATTGCTCCCCGTTCAGCTGATGTTAAAGTACCTATTTGCTTTTTACTTTTCTTTACAAGAATTAGTGGAATTTTACTTTGCACAACTATAAGCCCCGTCTTATCCACGTTGAAAATTCGTCCACGAGGGTAATAATGTTCCGCATAAGCATCTTCTAAGAGTTTAAAAAATTGTTGTACACTTTCCTTATTAAAACCTAAAGTTCTGGCAAAGGAAGTTCCAGTTGCTTTACGCAGAAAGAAGACACTTTTGTGACGATTCAGAAATAGATCTGTCATGATCTGCCAGCTTCAGCTGAGGTAAATTGGTGAGATATATTGTTTCTTATAGCTAATTGATACGCCATACGTTTCAAGTCTTTCAGTGTATCCATTCAGTAAATCCATACAGCTTTTCTTCTATGAAAAGTAAGTATTGTACGAGTTTCTTTTCCTCTCCTAATATAGGCTTTCTTCCTAATTTTTTCTTTGCAGCTTCATGTGAAGATAAGCCATTGCTTTTACACAGTCTTTGCAAAGTTGTACGAGGAACATTAAAATATTTGGATGCCTTTAATATTCCCATTTTCTTCTCCCTAACTGCATCGATAGCTTCCCAGATAGCACACGGACGTCCACTGGACGTCATTATATGTCCATTTTTTTTATAAAAGACGTCCATATGACGTATGTTTCGTACACAACTTCGGACATAAACGTCCGATGGACGTACATCGGACGTCCTACAGGTCCGATGTCCAAATAAGGACATCCTTGTTATGTCCAATTTATGTCCACGAATATAAATCGGACATACGGACATAAATTAGATGTGAAACGTACATCCACTGGATGTCCGGTGCTGTCTGGGTTTCTCCATATTTTCAGCACACCATTATTTCCTTTTATTTTTGGACTGATATTTTGTGGTACGTCTAGGCATTCTAAAATAAGAAAAAACGTTTCTTGAACGTTGTAAATATTATATGGAAGCAACTAGTCTAAATAGAAATATATGTGTACAGTAACATAACCATATCATCCGTGACGGTCCAAATATGGGTCATAACTAGCTCATATTTGGACCATCCACCGTAGCCCATATTTGCAACATCGTGTTACGCATGAAATTAAGTTACAATAAGAAACACAATATATTTCCACTTCAACTCAATATGCCATTTTATACATCTAACCTTATACTGTTTATAGGTTATAAACAATTTCATTAATTATAAGTACATTTCTAGAAAAAAATTGAAATATACATACCTGCACAAATTTTCAATCGTCACAAAACTAATAATTATGTATAATTTGTATACTGCCTCGAAAACAATCGTTAAATGCAACTGTGTGGCACGCTACGTCTTCAACGAAATTACCCATGTACTTGTTATCAGGCTGCAGCGCCATAGAGAACTAAAACACCGCTAGCCCATATTTGGACCATTGCCCATATTTGGACCTTCTCTTCTATTTCAACCCTTTGTATATATTACATGTGATTTCCGTTAAACTTGTCTTTTATTGAACTAGTCAGTAAGGGGTTTTTAGGGTCGTTGATTACGAATCTAAAGATAAAATTATAAAATTCAAGATGGTGGACCCAATATGGTGGACCGAAATTGTAAAAAGATAGCTGATTCAAACCAATTTTGGTATCTGAGGTTTTTGGGGCCTCTAATTACGAATCTGAAGTTGGAAGTCAAAATATAATTCGTTTGTCGCACTTTGTTATTATTATTATTATTATTTTAATGTGTTTTACTTGTAAGATTTTTAAGAAGGTTTATTGTAAACTTTCAAGGATATTAATTATATAAAATTTCTAGACTTAACGTTAATAAGATTAATATTTTGAATATTAATAGATTTTTTGCTATTTAGGTCCAGAATTTAAATAAATAATATGAATGAATATGAATAAATATATAAATAAATAGAATATAAATGAAAATGAATAAATATAAAGGATAAGAGATCAAAATTTCTACATCCATATCTTATCAAGATATATCAGAATACCATTACATACAAGGGTAGTCCCAGAAGTACTCGACCTAACAAAGAAAACAAAAAATTTGAGAAAAAATATCTTTATTTCTCTACATAGTCTCCTTTTAGCTTAATACACTTTTCCCAGCGATGTTCAACAGCTTCGTTACCCTGTTTATAGTGGGAATCGTCGAGCTCCTCAGAATAGCCATCAACCGCAGACTCCACCTCTTCATTGTTGGCAAATCTTTTACCACCGAGCCATTTTTTCATAATCCGAAGGAGCTAAATCTGGTGAATAGGGTACGTGAGGAAGTAATTCGAACTTTAACTCATTGATTTTGGCCATCGCGATAACGGATGTGTGAACTGGTGCATTGTCTTGATGAAACGAAACTTTCTTTCTCGCCAAATGCGACCGTTTTTTCTTGATTTCATCACTCAAACGCTGCAATAAGTTCACATAATATTCGCCGTCGATTGTTTTTCCTTTCTGAAGATAATCAATGAAAATTATCCCATGCGCATCCCAAAAAACTGACGCCATGACCTTGCCTGCAGATGAAACTGTCTTCGCCTTCTTTGGAGCCGATTCTTCCCTTTCAGTCCATTGTTTTAACTGTTCCTTCGTCTCAGGTGTGAAGTGATGGACCCATGTTTCATCCATGGTTATGAATCGATGCAAAAACTCGGCTTTATTGCTGTGAAACTTCGCCAAATACTTGATTGAAACATCCTCACGACACTGTTTTTGTTATATTGTGAGTAATCGCGGCACCCATCTTACGCACAGCTTTCTCATGTCCAAATTTTCAATCAATGTGCGATGTACAGCATTTTTTGAAATGCCTACCATATCTACTAACTTGTGTACTTTCAGTCGACAGTCATCCAATAGCATTTCGTGGATTTTCTTCACCATTTCTGGCATGGTCACCTCATTTGGTCGCTGCGATGTTCGTCTTGGCAGCTCGTACGGCCTCGTTTAAACTCTGCTACCCAATATTTTACTATTGTAAACGAAGGAGCAGAATCCCCTAGAGTAGAATCTAGCTCCGCTTTCATATTAGTTAGACTGAGGTCTTTCAAATGAAAGTATTGTATCACATAACGATGACCAATTTTTACCATATTTACAAATTCACTGAGAGCGTTTATTATTGATGGCTGCCAAACAAATACTAAAACGTAGCGTCGTCAAATACTAAACTTCAAACTTAAGTTTTATAAGGTTGGTACTTTCTATCATAGTCATTGGTTGCATTCAGCAGACTCAACAGTTGGACAACATTACTAGATTTTCCACTGAATCTCGCTCTTAATTGGTAAATATTTCTGGATCTATGAAGAATCTAAAAGAATGCTCCAATCACAGATAATAATCACTAAGCTCTCACTGATCACTTTGTTCTACTGAACGCGGCCATTCTTTTCAAACAATAACCGCCATCTATACGTCAGGTCGGGTACTTCTGGGACTATCCTCGTTTTCTGCTCGGATACTAACGGATAATAATCTTTTGGAAGACCAACTTCCTAATCTGAAAAAACTGACGCGACAGGTTAATTTTGAATACCGATTCATTGTTAAATTCAGTAAATGTAATTGCCTGAGGCAATATTCTTTTTCACTGGTACAATTTCGATCTGTCATATTGCGTAATATTCCGTCATTTTGAATTTTGTAATTTTATCTCCAGATTTGTAATTAGAGACCTCAGAAACCTCCAGATACCAAAGTTGGTTTGAATCAGCCATTATTTTATAATTTCGGTCCGCCATATTGGGTCCGCCATCTTGAATTTTGTAATTTTATCTCCAGATTCGTAATCAGCGACCGTAGAAACCACTTACTGACTAGTTCAATGGAAGACAAGTTTGACGGAAATCACATGTAATATCTACAAAGGCTTGAAATAGTGCTTTCATGTTCAGGGATCAAGAAGTGATTTCCACCCTTAAAATGCGTTGTCAGCCGATATAAAAAAACACGTGTTGAATATTTTTCAATGTTCTACGTGCATGCTAAATTTCATTGGAAGCGGTGAGTGACAGTTGGGTAGTGTCACTTGTTAGTATAAAAAGTCTTTACGTTAAAATTTTTAAACATTTTTTCGACGAGTATCACTATCGTCGTGATTATAAAGAACAATATTAGCATTACTTTACGGTTGCCGTTAATAGTATTAATTTTGCTTCCAACATTTATTAATTTCTTATATTTGTTATATATTTCTCCTTAAAATATGTAGATACTCATATTTACATAAAGCAACTCTTAGAGAAATTTATTCGTGGCTATAATGAATTGACTAATAAATGGTAATAAATAATATTATTACTTATTATTTATACGAATTTTATTATTACTTATACGAATAATAAAATTACTTATATGAGTAATAAAATTATTTATTATCATTAGCCAATTTATTACAGTCAGTGATAAATTTCTGTAAGTAAATATGTTGCAGAATATCACAAATGACAAAAAATTTTCAGCGACCTGTATTTATGTATTAAGTTTATGTATTTATATTATGTTTTAAATTACTTTTATATCTGCATTCAAAAGATGTAAATAAATGTTCGTCGTTTGCGTAGCGATATAGCGATTAAGCGCTCACGCACGTTACCGATCTTGCTTATGGTATCACTTCCATTTATAAAATTGCAGTCCGTATAATTTAAATATAAAACATGATATATGGATCGATTCAGAATAAAAAATGCTAACTTTTTCTCCTATATAATGAATTTGATAAGTTATTAATAATTAATTAAGCCTGATATGGTTAATTATTAAAGTCTGATTTTGTTGATTATTAAAAGTATTTTTTTTATTTTAAACAAGCCTATTTTATTTTTTATAAGAAACCGTACAATTTTTCTTTAAAAAGTTTTTTTACGTATCTGCAATAGTTATCGAAGTAGCATAAAGGGGATGAAACTTTGAGAGGTAGTTTCGTTCCTTAAACCTGTTCGATTGCCGATAAAAAACGGGTCTTTTATTTCTGGCTATTCTATAAATATGCCAAATTTTGTCGAAATCAGAGACACATATTTCGCGGATGTTCTTTGTAAATAAAAGGATAATATAAGATAGATAGGTAATCTTGTTGCTTTAGGAACACGTACATGATATCTACAATTAACAGATCTAAAGTGCGATATATCAAACATTGCAAGTGCACAAGGAACGTGAAAAAAGAAAAGGAAAACCTTAATATCTTTTGTATCCACTTGGAAGAATCGTTGCATCATAGAATAACTCGTCGATTTTTATTTTGAGCATCAGAAATATAAGCAATTTTTAGCATCATAATTTTCATTAAAAACGCGCGTAAATCTCTATAAAATGATCAAATCTAGGAAAGAAAAACAAAATGTAAGTTCTACTCGACGTGTTTCATCATACCATATAGGCAATTATATATTAAATTATATAGATTAAATATTGCGTTATACGCGTGTTGCGTAAACGATTATCGATTATCATGCTTTCTAATAGTTTCTAATAGTTTCTCAATATACGAGAAACGTAGAAAATAACGTAATTATTGCACCTTATTTTCTATCTAATAGATCATGATGTCTTTACAGATGTAGCCGTGCATATGACAGAATTGGATAATTATAGTTTGTTCAGTGCGTACACACAGACACAGCGCGAGATATTACGTAAAGTGTGCTGTAGAATCGTTGTCAGACCTGATATTATATAATAGCCATTACTCCGCTTATGTCAATATGAAGTTGTTATCAATTGTTCTCATGATTTTGGCGAACTGCGACCAAATCGTCAATACATACCGGATCCTCGGCATAGTTCCGTTTCATGCACCGAGTCATTGGGTCATGATACAACCTTTAATGAAAGGTTTGGCGCAACGTGGCCATCAGGTAGACGTTGTCTCGCATTTCCCGCAGAGGAAGCCGATACCAAACTACACAGACATTAGTTTGGTCGGCTCTGTCCCCGAAGTTCGGAACAACATGTCCGCGCCTGAAGTTTTGTCGTTCAACGGTTTTTCCATGAAACATGTGACTCAAACAGCCGGGAGCAAAGTTTGCGAGTTACTAGGCCACCCAGTATTGCAAAATCTGATCAAGAATCCACCGCAGGATCCTCCCTACGACCTTGTTATTATACAGGTATGCTCAATATACTCTTACAAGGGTTGCCTTTTATATTTCGAGAATAGAGAACAAAAAAAGGAAATTAATCATCGTACATAGGTTTATTGTTTTTCAAAATATTCTCCATGAAGATCAATACACTTTTCCATATGCTTGAACCAATTTTCGAAGCACTTTTTCCACTCCGATTGAGGTACCTCCAAAACATGCATTTTGAACGCATCAACCGCTTCTTCAGGCGTCGAAAAACGTTGACCTCGTAATTTACTTTTGGTTTGCGGGAATAAAAAGAAGTCATTGGGTGCCAAATCAGGGCTGTATGGCGGATGACCCATCAATTCGCCTTTTTCAGTTCTCAAAAAGTCTCTTGTTTGAGCCGCTGTGTGAGAGCTCGCAT